TGTGTGTGGATTGCGATAACAGTTGTATAAGCCTCTAATAAAATGTTAAAAAAGGTGACTTTATAATTTATATAAAGAACATTATAAAAATCCACTATAAAACTAATTGAAATAATAAACCAATACAAGGTTCAGCAAAGTGGATACCTAAATTGTACTCCTATAAACTAGTAAAGAGCAGCCCATAAAGTGAAGTTGACTAAACTATTCAATTTATAACAGAAATAGGTATAATGCTTTGGGATGGAATAACAAGTGTAAGACTTCTATATCAACAACTACAAAATGCAGTTGATCAAACCTTTTAAAATATTTAAATTGATAGATAATTTTCTCATATTCAGTTGTCAGAAGACTGGATATTAAGTTTCCAATGAACCCCCAATAGGGGTACAGAATCAATGCCATTTCTTTAAAAGGCCATCTGCCCTTGGGGCTGAATCAAAAATTAATAGGGGAATGAAATGTAAATAGCAAGTGGGGATAAATTTGTTAGACTCATTATAATCCCAACATTGTGGAAATGTTATAAAGCTAGGCATGGATCAATGAAATAAAAGTCATAGTTCAAAAATAACAATCAATGGCATTGCCTTTTAAGCAAGAGTTAATTCTATATGAAAACAAGCATTTTTTATCAAAGGCACACAAAAGAAGTAGGTATTCATATGCAAAATAATTTAGATGTCTACTTCATTATATATACAGATACTTTAGCTCAAAATAATTCATAGACTTAAATGTGAAAGCTAAACCCACAAGAACTCTAAGAAGACAATGTAAGCATATGTCTTCCTGAACCTGGACTAAATGATGACTTCTTAAAGATAGCAAACACACATTGATTTTTAAAGGAAATGATCAATTTAAGCTTATCAAAATGAAATGCTTTTATGCTTTATCAAATCTTCTTCAACTTGAATTGACCTTTTGGCTAGTAGTCAAGCACTTTAGCCACTGATCACCAGGGCTTTGCTTGCAAATAGTCATTCACACATGAAAAGATACTCATCTTTAGTAAATGAACGTGCGGGTTGTAAAATTTTTGGCAACAGTAAAAGATGTTTGAAAATAAAAAATGAATTCAAAATCAAATGCATAATGAATCAGAGGGGCTTTTTGCTGATAGAATTTGATCTTGTTGAAAATTTCTCAGGTAAAAAATAGCCATGAGTGGGGAAAGTTTAAGAAGCCTTGAGTTTTAAATGTTTAATCTTTATTTATTAGGAAAATACAGATTAAATTCACTGTCAGATGCCATTTAACACATTCAAAAATCCATTGCAATTGAGTTGAGTCAAACTCACAGTGACCCCATGTGTGTATAGACTAGATGTGTTTCACACGGTTATCTTGCCTGTAATCATTATGGAAATAAATCACCAGACTTTCCTACTATGGTGCTGGTAGGGGGTTTGAACTACCAAGCTTTAGGATAATATGGGCGTGCAAGCCATTTGTACCATCCAGGGCCTATTACCTAATAAGACAAAAAATGATGTTGGCAATGACATAGAAAAATTGTAAACTTTGTACGTAATTATGAGTTTCAAGTAGTACAGCCTCTTTAAAAGTGTATTTACAAGGTTAGCAGTTCTCCAAAATATTAAACACAGAATTTCCATATAGCCTATAGTAGCATTCCCTGAGCTGCAGACAAGTCTGTCTACACACTAACGATGATGTGAATGTTCACTGCAGCATTGTTCATAAGAGTTGTCACCATCTGTAAATGCTTATCAACTGGTGAACGAATAATGTACAGTATTATCTATATAATAGAATATGTTGGAATAAAACGAAATGCAGTATTGACATATATTAATCACAATGTAGATGAATTTCAACAGCATTTTATGAGAAGAAACCAGTCATAAGAGACTATTTTCTTATCAGTCTATTCTTATAAAATGTCTACAAACCAAACCCAAACTCGCTGCCATCTAGTCAATGGGGACTCTTAATGACACCCGGTGGGTTTCTGAGACTGTCACTATTTTACGGGAGTAGAAAGTCTAGTCTGCCTCCAAAGGAACTGGTGGTGGTTTTGAACTGTTCACCATGCAAATCGCAGCCCAGCACTATCACTACACCACTGGGGCTCCTACACCCGTGAAATGTCCTAGTAAGGCAGACACT